CTGCTTGTCCGGCTCCTCCGCCTTTGCCGCTCTTTTCCCAGCGCCCTGAGCCGCCGTCTCTGCGGGCTCCTGGCCTCCAGCCCCAGCCTCTGCTCCAGCCAGAGGGGCTTCCACCTGCGCAGCCCCCTTCCCGCCGTCCTGAGCCTTTGCAGCGGCTGGGGCCTTCTCCTTCGCAGGCTTTTCCTTGTGTTCATCCTCAGCCTTTGATGTCACAGGGGTGTTTTCTACCTTGGCAGCTTTTTTCCCTCCATCCTGAGCCTTTGCAGCGGCCGGGGCTTTCTCCTTTGCAGACTCTTCTTTGCTTCCAGCTTGAGGCTTCTGTGCAGCTGGGGTTTTCTCTGCCTTTGCTGCTGCCCTCTCTCCACCCTGAGCCTTTGTGGGAGCTGGGGATTTCTCCTTTGCGGGCTCTTCTTTTCCTCCGTCTTGAGCCTTTTTTGCTGCTGGGGCTTTTTCTGCCTTTGCCACTTTATTCTCTCCATCCTGAGCCTTTGCGGCACCTGGAGCTTTCTCCTTTGCAGGCTTTTTATCAGCTGGGGTTTTCTCTGGCTTTGCAGCTTTCTTCCCTCCATCCTGAGCCTTTGCAGCCACTGGGACCTTCTCCTTCACAGCTGCTGTGGTTTTCTCCTTTGTGGGCTCTTTGCCTCCATCCCGAGCCTGTGCTGCAGCCAAGGCTGTCTCCTCTGCGGGTTTTGCCTTCCCTCCTTCAGCCTCCGCTGCAGCCGGAGCCTTCTGCGCAGTGGGCTCTGCTTTCCCACCACCCCCAGCCTGTAACCCACCAGGGGCTTGTCCCTTCGTGGGCTTGTCCTTCCCCCTGTCATGAGCCTCTGCTGCAGTCAGGCCCTTTCCCTCTGTGGGTGCTGCTTGCCCTCCTTTGGGCTCTCCTGCAGCCGGAGCCTTCTCCTCCCTGGGCTTGTCCTTCCCTTCATCCTGAGCCTCTGCAGCAGCTGGAGCCTTCCCTCCTTCAGGCTTCCCTGTAGCTGCAGCCTTCTCTTTCCCGGGCTTATGCTCCTCATCCTTCCCTCCATCCTGGGCCTTGGAGGCAGCCGGCACCTTCCCCTCTGCAGGTGCTGCCTTCCCTCCAGCCCTGGGCTCTGGAGCAGTCGGGGTTGTCTCCCCCTCCAGCTCTGCCTTCCTTCCTCCAGCCTCTCCCGCATCCTTCTCCTTCCCAGGCTCTGCCTGTCCCCTGTCGCGAGCATTGTCCTGTCTGGGATCATCCTTCCCTCTGTCCTGCGCCTTGGTAGCAGCTGGCACCGTCCCCTCCATGGGTGCTGCCTCCCCGCCTC